GTGTCAGTTGTGCAAGAGTATTATCTATTTTCACTTTGCTTTGAAAACCATTCTTGGTGATGACATCATATTGTAAACCACCAAGTTTAAGGACCCGATGCAGAGTCAGAACCACTTTTGTTTGTGGCAGATATGTACAGAATGGCTTCAGAATGAGTGTTGGGTCCTGCAAAAAGGGGCAAAAGAGAGAAAAGAAGATGGATAAAAGAGAAGTGTAGAACAAAAAAAAGGGGGGGGGGGGGGGCTGGGGGTTATCGGACCAGTAGGTGGAGATCAATTTCCCAACAGCCTATCAGTCAAACAGCTCTACACTATTCTGCTGATTGCACACTTTCAGCTCAAGTCAACCGATTTCCAAGTTCCAAGTGTGTGTGTGTGTGTGTGTGTGTGTGCTGGGCACTCATAACTACAGGTCTGGAGCGAGCGAGGATCTGTCACGATGCTTTATTTCCTGAGCTGCTTAGTGAGGTCGGCCAAGAAAGGGACAGTGTGAGAAAGAGAGAGAGAGAGAGAGCTCTCAGGTGAGGGTAACCCGGTCCGCCACCGTTCGCTCTGGGAGAGGGAGGTGGCAGAAAGCCGGTTGTGTCAATGCATTATGCATTAGAGTCTGCGCTCGACTGACAGCCCCTCTGCCGCCCTCGGCTCTAACAGGGCCGCCGCTAATCAAAGACGACACATCCCAATGTCCAGACACACACACACACAAATTTACTAATCAAAAAGTGTATTTCCTAGAGGCTGTCTCCCAGGAGAAATCCGGCGGGGAGAAATTGGAATAATTTATTAGCTTACAAGTTTTGGTTGACAGTTAGCCCGGGGCTATTTATCTCAGTAATAGAGAACGTCTCCAATGTGGCAAAATTGACCAAATCAAACAGCTTTGATCAGAAAATGAATCTGGCAAGCTTGTCTGTCTTCACGCACCCCTCGAGAAAAGCGGGAAACAAACAAATCCAAAAAAAGAGAGAGAGAGAGAGAGAGAGAGAGAAGGAAGACAGGGTAGGGAGAAAGAGAGAGAGATAGAGACAGAGAGAGGCTATTTAAAACAGATTCACAAATTTTCAAAGGGAAAAAAAAACGTCACAGATGATAAACAGCGAGTTAAATACATTCTACGTCAAGAAAGAACACGCGGTGGTGCCTTGACCCGGCTATATTTATTTCAACCTGACAGCAGGGTATTTTTACACGTAATTGGTGACTTTAATCAACGCAAAAAGACTTTAGTCAGGACTGCGTTCGCAAGCGAGCTTTTTTTTTTCTCAACATGAGGTCGATCACGTATATCTAACAGCGAAAGTTGAAGTTTTGAATAAATATTAATACAGTGGCTCGTTTTAAAGGATGTCCGCGAACCGTTCGGACAGAAAACAGCATGTGACAACCTTCAGACACGCGCCACAGGCTTCACTTGTGAGGGACGCGCGGAGCAAAGGGGAACAAATTCGGGTCGAGCACCACAACAAACCGCCATGGCAACTGCTTTTGACAACATCACACCCGGCCTCTATACACGGCAGACAGACACGCTCATTTGCGCGGGAGATTGACGGTTCAAAGGGTCTTGATTTTGACACTGAAAAGGAACAAATATTCTCACATGTTGATCTAGTTTAATTAGAGCTGCGTGCTTTGATGCATGCTTGTCAGGGGCTGCTTGATGTTGCATCAAGTGAAGTTAAATGCGTCTCACTCAAGATGACACAACGCGAGAGAAGTTTGTGTAGGCCTACTGTCGCGCAACGTTCAAACAACCTTCAAACAAAGACGCTTCATCTCCGTTTGACATTGCCCACATGCTCCTAACATCGTTTTCCTCAAATCTGGAACAACAATGTTTATAATAGAGAACGTCTCCAATGTGCTAAAAGCGACCAAATCTCTCTCCCATAAATTGAGGGGGAGAGAGAAAGAGACAGGTAAGGAGAGCTTATATTCAACACGCTTTCAAAGGGGAAAGAAACATCACAGATGTTAAACAGTGAATACGCGGTGGTGCCGTGACCCTGCTATATTTATTTCAACCTGTCATTTAGTTTGATTTGCTCATCAGGAGGGTATTTTTACATTGGCGACTTTAATGAGTGTAAAAAGACTTTAGTCAGGATTGATTTCGCAAGCACGCGAGCCTTTTTATATACGGTTGATCAGAAGTCTCTCACTACGTGGTTGAAGTTTGTATATTACTATTAAAATACATATTCTGTAGTTTTTAGCTTTAGCCATTTGAGATTATAATCAAACCCTTTATTTTGACACAATGCACACTTTATTATCGCTACAATAAAATTCCTTATACTCACTGTATTTGGTCAAATAACATTACAAAGTTCGTTTTTACGTGTATAATTAGTAAACTAATCAAAACACATCATGAATGCAAATTTGAACTCAAACACTGCAATCACGCGCAACCATTGAAAAAGATTTTTGGTAAGATTTTTTTTTTGGTAACACTTTAGTTTAGGGTCCAATTCTCACGCTAACTAGTTGCTTGTTACAATGCATTTTACTAGGATTTTGGCTGTTTATTAGAAGTATAAAGCACATATTAATGCCTTATTCTCCATGACCATTTTCTCCCTTAATCCTACTCAATACATAAACAACTACCTTACTAACAATTACTAAGCAGTGATCAGGATTATTAGTAAGAATTTTTTTATGAAGTCTCTTCTGCTCACCGAGGCTGCATTCATTTGTTTAAAAAACAGTAATACTGTGAAATATTATGACAGTTTAATTGAACTGTTTTCTGTGATCAAAGCAGAATTTTCAACTTCAGTGTCACATGATCCTTCAGAAATCATTGTAATGCTGATTTGCTGCTCTAGAAACATTTCTGATTATTATCAATGCCGAAATTTTCAGGATTATTTGAATAGAAAGTTCAAAACAACTGCACTTCTTAATAACATTATAAACGTCTTTAATGTTTCTTTTGGTCAACTGAATGTGCCTTTACTGAATAAAAGTATTAATTTCTGTCAAAAACATATTACTGACCTAAAATTTGAACAATGCGCATGCAAAAAAAAAAAAAACCTCGTTTATGAGTGTGGTTCATTATAGGCTCCTCACGCTGCCAGCAGAGTGAAATTTTTCACCTCGTGCAGACTGCTTTTTAAACTACATTTGGACTCGTGCCGACAATTACCTCCTCAAAGTCTCTAAAGTACCAAAGCTCTGCCTAATTAGTATGCATTATCAATTAACGGCCTTAATAGGCGGCAGATTGATCACATCCCCCTGTTTCAGGGGCCGAACAGAGGCGAAAGCTGGAATGAAAATTTCCTCAACCGCTCTCACTCACGAACAGCAACAAAACATCCATGATATAAAACAACTCAATGCTGCAGTAAACACGACTGCAACACCTAATAAAGTACATCAGGAACCAGAGTTGTTTGAGTTTTTAATTTGGTTTTAAATAATATTTTGAATTAGCTTTTTTTTTTTTTTTTTTTTTTTTTTTTTTTACAATTTTCATGTTCATTTTAAATTCATTTCTAGTATGTTCTTTTGTCATTTTATTCATTTTTAAATACGTTTCATTTATTTCAGTTTTGGTTTCAGTTTTTATTTATTTCCAGTTAATCATGTTAGTGCTTCAGCTTAAACCGACTTCAATTTATTGCCCAGGCAACATTTCTAATGTTCATTTAGTTTAAGTTTTTCAACTAATATTTATATTTGAGTCTATTTCAGCTTTATTTCAATTTACAAAAATGTTTTTATTAGTTTTAGCATTATTTAACGATAATAGCCCTTTCAAGAACTACAACAGCAGGTCTACTACTAAAAGTATTATTATTAAAATTATTATTACATATACATTTACATTAATTGATTTAGAAGACGCTTATCTAAAGTGACTTACACTTAATAATAATAATAATTAGTCCTGACAAATTGAGTAATCGCGATTAATTGCATCTAACATATGAGTTTTTGTTTACATAATATGTGTGTGTGTGTGTGTGTATAATATATATATATATATATATATACATGTATGTCTATATATGTATGTATGTATACATGTATGTCTCTGTGTGTGTATGTGTATACATATACATATACATATGTATATATATATATATATATATACACAGTATATTAGGGCTGTCAAACTATTAATCGCATCAAAAAAAGTTTGTGTTTACATATAAGTGGGTACACTGTGTATAATTATTTTATATATATAAATACACACACATGCTTGAATATATTTAAGAAATATTTCATGTATATACTGTATATAGATTTATATATAATTTATATTACATATAAATATAAATATTTTATACATAAATATTTTTTTTCTTATATATACATGCATGTGTGTATTTCTATACATATACAAAATAATTCTACACAATGCACCCACATATGTTATGTAAACACAAACTTTTATTTTGGATGCGATTAATCGCGATTAATCATTTGACAGCCCTATATATATACATATATATATATATATATATATATATATATAGAGAGAGAGAGAGAGAGAGAGAGAGAGAGATTATGTAAACAAAAACTTTTCATTTAATCAGTTTGACAAGACTAATAATAATTTTTTTCTAAAAATAAAATAAAAATAAAATAAAAACAGCTTAAACCTGGTTTGCTGCTTTAGCTGGTCTTCCAAACTGGCCACGCTGGTTTTGCTGATCTGCCAGATGGTGTTTCTGCTTGACCAGCTGAGAAGTGCTCAAAACCTCTCTTAAACCATCCAACCAGACCAGCATAACCAGTGGACACTGCAAGACCAGCAAACCAATGAATGAATGAATGAATGAATGCGGTCTGAAATCCTTCAACGAGAGCGGTATTAAACGCACACTAAACTAAAATCACGTTTGATCCAAAGTGCGGCCATTCATCAGCCAAATGAGACTCATGTTTCCAGCATACATTCATTTTCAAGACATTGTTTAATTGCGCTGTTTTACATAAAAGTCGCTGAGTGGAGGAAGAGTGTGATTTTCACTTACTCTCACCAAACTGTGTCCTCGTTCATCACTCGCACTCATCAGAACTCTCATGGAGAGCCGATTCCATTAGAAGAAACAACAAAATGGAGTTGCTGATGCCGTGTGGTGTTGGTGAAGATTGATTGACTGATGCATTGATGGAAACCACTCAGAGAAGATCTGGAAGACAATAGAAACAGGACATTAAACATCCTGAAATTAAGCAAGTTTGCAGGAATGCAAGAAATGGCTCTTTACTCATTCTCTTCGGGAATATCGTAGAAAAATGACACTGTTACAAAACATACATGTGGTAGCATTACGTAAATGAGCCTGCTTTGCTATACAGAAAATATGAATTTAGAAATTCATTAATAATCTGCGAAACGTAAAGCCAGTATATTGATGGATTTTAGCTACAGGTTCCAATCATGCCCAAGTCTTCATTACATTTGATTAATTTTAGACTTATTTTTCATCTGCACTCTGTGGCCTACATTATGATGCATAATATGCAGGTCAATATCGTGAGTTACTGAGATTGCCACTGGCCATTAAATTAAAGTTTGACAAATGACGCTCTTACTGCACAAATTCTCAGCAAAACAACTTTGGTCAGCATGCAGTTTGAGGATGTCTGGAATAGAGATTTTAAGCTCATTTTCATCATATCAAACATCCTAATTTGTCACCGACCCATATACAAAACAATTTTACAACAATATTTACAACCATTTGTTTTCTAAAGGGGTTTAAAGGCTGTTAAAATGTACCTCTGCCACCCCGTTTGAGCTTACAAAGTTTTAATCTGTATAAATGAATGCATTAAATTGTTTGCTTATTTGAATAAACACCGATACAAATCATTAGATGAATTACTTGGCCTGCTGATTACAACTTATGCATCAAAATGCACTTAATTTTCATTAGGAGGTATAAAATTAGATGATTATTATATTAATTAAGATGATTACAAACAATTATCCTTCCCGAGCACCCGCGGTCCTGCAAACTAGGTCAGCGTGATGATGTATTATTCTCACACGGAGTCATTTCTCCTGGCCTTCTTTCAGCACGGAAACCCAGAATAAAGGCCAGGAAGGGCAAATAAAATGCTGGTCAGAAATTTCTTTGTAGGGTGTTTTCAAACGCAAGAACAGGGCGCTGAATCCATTACGTGGCTATAGGGCCGCAGACACGCGTCTGATGTCCGAGCAGTTCACGCTGCGTAATACACCGGGCAGAATGTGCTGAGAATTCGGGGAAACTGTGGAATTGAAGAGTCACATATAATAAGCATCACCGGGACAGTGACTGGAGAGAATGGCCTTCCTTTTTTCACGTCTGTCTGAGAGTGAGCAATCCAGCTCGAGAAAACAATAGCACAATATAGGACTCATTCGACACGACTTAATGACAAAAGAGCATGCAAATTAGGTTAGGATGAAGATCAAACGCATACTCGCCTCATAAGTCAAATGCCTTGTGCAGAGAATCAAATGCAAACTGAAAGATATAAGGACAAAGACAGCAAGGCCTGTGTATAGTGTGTAAAATGATTTGAGGAAAAAGATTGTCACCCTTTTTCTGCCAAAATACAAGTTACTTAAGTTTCCCTTTCATTTAATTTCCTTTTTTTTATCTTAATTGACATCAATAAAACATGTTGTATATAGCCAATTTTCATTTGTTTGCTAACTAAAAAGCAACATATTTAAGCACCAAACTGAAATCATTACTGCAGGCTGTTAGAAAATGATGTTAACTTATCATTAGATCGTTCCTATTTTAAAGTGTATATGAGTCATAACGTAAAAAGCAAAACAGTGCAATATATTAATTGAAAGGAAAGCATATCCAAATAAGCAAAGATGTTTTAAGACATAACCCGTAATTTGCAGTATAAAAATACAAAACTATCATTCATAAACTCCACGACAAATAACTACTACTAATAATAGCAACTATGATGACAAATAAAGTCAGAAAAAAAGCTAAATAATTATCCTATAACAATATTATTTCATGCTGCAATGCATGCTGGGAGCTCACAAACCTTTGGGAAAAAACAGCAACATTGATCATTTTGAAAGTTTTCTGCAAATTAACTCATTTAGTCAAGATGGAACAACATTTGGTGGACTGTTTTGTTATTCTTAAATGTGTTTTACATAAAAAGTCATTCATATTTATTAGGCCTATATCTGTGACTGACTACAATGCTGCAAAGGATGAAATGCAATTGCCTATTTTTATTACAGTTACAAACGTTGCATTTTAGTATGGTGTTTTGGTAGAGACTAAGCTTACCAGGGTAAATTTTGAATAGGGCCAGAATTTGACGAGCCATCTCTGATGTTTCCTAAAGCAAGACCATAAAAACCCACTGCAAAGCAAACCCCACACCTATGCGCGCGCTCGAGCCTGTAGCTGCATTTCAAGCCTGTTCTCGGCACGCTGATGTATATTTCATTGTCCGCGGCTTAATTTTGATTTATCGTCCGTCCATAAATTAGAAAAATATGTTTTAGAATTCCATCTTGCGGAAAAGCTGCGCGTGATGCCGGGGGATTGGACGATATTTAAGATGTCAGAGATACATATTGGATTAGCGCGCTTTGTTCGCGCGCCATAGCAGGTGTTTAATCACGGCTGATGCGCGCGCTGAAATGCGTTAGGACAGGAACGGGAGCCGCGTTCCCCGGGACTGCGATAAATCACAGCCGAAAGCAACTAACAATCCCCCTCCCCACCTACACACACACACACTTCCAAAAAGCATAAAGCCAATCCTAAAGCCGCGCGTGCACGTCACTGAGGGCAGCAGTCACATAAACGCATTAAATCTCGAAATGTTAATCGGTCTTTAAAGCGTTTAAACGTGTTTTTTGTTTGTTTGGGTTTTTTTTTTGCGCAGTATTATTTTTTACCTTGAAACCGAGCGAGTGCGAGTTATTCATTAACCTACCTCTGAGAGGGTATACATCTGATTACTGTCAGAAGTTTTCTTAAGATTCGTCTCGCGCAAGCATGTTTGGCGCCATCAGCATCCAAACGTTAACTATATAATAGGCCTTTACTTTTGACATTTTTACTAAAATGTTTGCATTGCAGATCTAATTGATTTAAACTATAATTTAGCCATACTGTTAATACTAAAACTACACATATAGGCTACAGGACACCACTACAAGTAAACAACAAAAAAACAAATATTGTAGGGACACAAAAGATATAAACTAATCTAAAGTTGACTTGTTGCCTTATATTTGTAAGTCAAACGAAAGTTTAGAACCTGCAGTTCGTTACATTTTTTTTTTTTTTTACCATTTTGAATATAATTGTGATGAGTTGATATTCTGAAGCATCATATATTCAGGTAGAAAATGAGATAACTCTGACAGTTTAAAAAGTTAAATGGATTGAAACAAGGATATTATAACAATGAAAACATTGCATGACATGAGTGTGTGTGTGTGTGTGTGTGTGTGTGTGTGTGTGTGTGTGAGAGAGAGAGAGAGAGAGAGAGAGAGAGAGAGAGAGAGAGAGAGAGAGAGAGAGAGAGAGAGAGAGAGAGAGAGAGAGAGAGAGGCAGGCGGGACAACGTTTAGGAGAGCAAACATTTTCAAGGTCACCCGGTGAACTGGAACGAGCTCAGAGAGATGCATGGCGAAAACGGCGCGTTTTGACACGAGCGCGAGGTTTGATTAAAAGGTAAAGTAATGGGTTTAAACACACGCCACGTGCGTAGCGCGCCAGACTCTGTTGGCTTTTCGCAAATTACTTAACGGTGCAGTGATGGAAATAAGATTGTAATGTTTGGTAATGGAAAAGAAAGCCCCATATTCTTTTTCTGGCCTTCTTGTTTTCTGACATACACAAAATAAATTACCCAGGCTAATAGGCATGGCGCGTGGAATTTTTTTCCCCGCACCTTCTGAGGGAATTCAAACGTGTTCCTAGCGGTTTCATTTTACATTCGTTATCTCACGCAATATTGGTTGGAATGATGAAACATCAAACACCTAATGTAACATTAACAGTACTGACTGCTGAGACAAATAGCTCACACACAAAAAAAGCCCCAAAAGTAACTCAACCTTGAACATAGTGGCTCTGCTGCCTGCGCGCGCCTGGCCTTAAATATGCCTAATAGTGAAACCAGGGGCAAGAAAACAGCCATCACAAACTGGAACAAATGGGGTTTTGCAAAACACAAACAAAGATGATTTAAAGTGCTACACAAATATGTGCACATGTTAGTTAATACAACACATAATGCGTCTGTGCGCATGGGAAAGGCGTCATGCAGACCCGCAAAACCCCACGCAACCCGCCACGCAAAAAAAAAAAAAAAAAGAAAAGAAAAAAAGAAAGAAAACGTATGACTTTGCATGCATTTTGGCTAATTGTAGACAAAAACCTGTAGGTTAATGAGGGAAGATGTCCTCCTTCAGAAAATGTGCATTTACTTTTAAATTGTTACATATTTAGATATAGCTAAGTTTAGCATGCGCAGGATTATTGTGCATCAGCCAATGTGTTATTATAGGAAATAAATAGTAACATTTGCTAATTAGCCTATAGTAAGAACAAAATGTAAAATTACTCAAAGAGGTCCTTACCATGAGGCCATATGAAAGACAAAGCAGAATCCCAAAAAGAGATTTATCTAAAAGGTAAAATTCTTCTGCGACTTAAATGAATATTTAAATATTTAAGAAGATATGCCATGAAAGCAAATTGAAAAATTTCACTCAACTAACCCCCGCAAAGATGTCGTACATGTACATTTTATTCATGGAATACTGATTAATAACCCCATAAATTAAAATAATGATTAAAGTGATGATAAAAAAAAAAGATCACACTAAACAAGCCACTTGAGCCCTTCACTTCAATGGGGGACATATTACCTCATGGGTCTAATTTGATCTTTTTACTTCAAAATAAAAACTATAACTATTACTCCTCAAATCCAAAAAAACATGAATGTGTCCACAAATCTCTCATTAACAAATAGACACACAAAAAACTGTGATATTCAACATAATACATTATCATAAAGCACTATTTTCCAAAGACACAGAATTAGATCAATTAACCTCAAAACTGTTTCGGCTGACTAAATATGACAAATGTTGATATTCAGAAAAAATGACCAAATTAAAATTAGCGTAGCCATTTATCAAAAGTGCTGAGATTAGATTTAGTGACATCTATGGTCAGGAGACAAAAAAATGAAGGTGACTTATCCTTTGCAGCAGACCGGGGCTAGTTGTCACACTTTCTATTTTCCACCATCGTTGCCCTGGAAATAAAGATAGTTCATTAAACACATGCTGACCAATAACAGGCATGCTGTCACATTATGAACCTGTCTTGAAATAGCCATATAAAGTAACAAGTAATTGCCAACATTATTAAATTAAGTGCATAGTGACAACATTTAGAACTTGTTCGGAGAACATAGTTCAACCTTCATTATAGATATGTTTTATATGTTGGTTTATAGTGGTTATATATGATCAAACATGATATAATACTTCATTATAATATACTGATCTATCTGTCTGTCTGACTATCTATCTATCTATCTATCTATCTATCTATCTATCTATCTATCTATCTATCTATCTATCTATCTATCTATCTATCTATCTATCTATCTATCTATCTATCTATCTATCTAAGTTAGCTAGCTATCCATCCACATTTTAAAAAATATGATGGTGTAGGAAATTGTAGAGGATACCATGCACAAAAATGATCCAAATTTAAGACTAACAGACTGGACTTTTGACGTAAAACCTTATCTATTGATTTGTTTTACTAGGTCACCGCACTGACCGGTTAACACCCATCAAGTGCTTCTGCACAGCTTTAGAGGTGCTGGCGAGCTTCACAAGGTGATAGCGCCATTAAACAGCGATCAGAATATAGCAATTAAGCTGACATTACACTCGCCCGGCGCTGTCCATAGGTGTCCACCGTTTATCCGGGAACCACCTCCTCTTAATTGCCTCCTAATTCCGTGTGTCAGATCCGTGTTTCCCCGCTGTCCCGCCCGCCGGCCGTGTCTGTGTCTTTACCGTTCTCAACTCCGAGGCGTTACTCAAGTCAATGACACAAGGCAAATTGCGTTTAATAAATGAGCTTAATGGATCACGCGATTGGATTGTGAGCGCGATGCTTCCTCTGGTTAAGCAAAACATTTATATCCAGTTCTAAGTGTTTTTAAACCGTGCAGACGGGCTGTGTCTCTCACCTACGATTTAAACTCATTATAAAACAGGTGAGACGAATTCAAGAGCATGAAAAGTGATTTAGGATAATCAGGGGCACGACAGTGTCAGTTTAAGCTTGCTTCAGTCAAAGCGACTCCATTTAATCACAGATGACGTTAAAGTACTGAGATATGCAATACTTAGCAAAGTATGATGACACTCGTCCAATATGGCACATGGCAGTCACCGTCAAACGTCCTGGTGCGACCACGTGGCTATTCTCTAATCTTGCACGCTCACCTAATCGAGAATGCAAGTAAAATGTCAAAGAGATGATGACACCTCTCTCTCTTTTATGGCCACGGTATGTTTGGGTGCGCAAAACAATCTCATCGGACATTATTGATGTTACAGATGTTGTAGTAATCAAATTATCGGTCTGTGAAGGGCCCCCCTCAGTCACCGGCGCGCGCGGTGATGAATTACGGTAAAGGTCATCACGTGGCTCCGTTTTATTGGAAGTTTATATGGTAACGCTTGGATGGGTGTCTGTAGGTGAGAGTGTGACTGTGTGTGTTTGGGAGGGGTTATGTTAGAAGTGTGGGAATATTATCTGCTTGCAAACATAATATCCAGGCATGTTCATGTGAAGCAAAGATAATCGTCGCCCACAAAGTTCATTAGCTGCTACTTGTAAACATATCTATTTGTGAATGCGCTTTATGGTGACACAATTTTTGAATATAATTCAGATACAGTAAGTTGTTTTCTAAGTGGGCGATTGCATTTCAGTTCAATTCAATAATGCAGTGTGAAAAAATTCCCCAAAATACGTGCATTTAATTCAGTTCATACCAGAAAGAAAACATTTTCTCCATTACATCTAAAAAGAAGGCTACAAATCAGCATGTTCAAAACAACAAGTATAGGCCTAAATGCTACATAAACATGCTGGCAAGCTATTTTTATTCTTGCATTCACCTCAATTTCCCACTAAAATAGGCAAATCCCACATTCAGATGCTCATTGTATTATAGGTTTAATGGAATGTTACCAAATAATTCATCCATTGAATCCTGACAAAATCTCTCTCAGTAGGACACCTACAATCCCTAAAGGGTAACCAACACCTATAACTGAGCCTTTATAGGATTATCACGGATTACACCACATTAGGGTCCCACGTGGCCCCACGCCAAAGGCCCGGAGCCTCATCCATTGTGCGGGACCAGTCCCTCGCGCTGACACTCGGGGTTATTTGTTGTCACCCCGAGCACATTAATCCCGCCACAATTAGGTGTCAGCTCGCGGCGTTCTCTGTTTGATGATAGCCTTGGGCTGCTGCAGCGCTCGAGCCCTAATCAGCAGAGTAAACTTGCGCTATATTTCAATTTGGGGAGGCGCTCTTCCGCGCGGAGGGCCCCAGCACGGCAATAAATAAAGCGCCTATTTACGCCACCATCACACAGAGACATCCAAATGCACTTACCACCGGCCCTCTCATCATGGCACGCATTCAACAACAGCCATAAATCAGAGCTTTTCAAACGCAATGATTAGTGAAGCCATTTACACACACAAACACAAACACACACACACACACAGCGCGCTCAAAAAACTGAACATACACTTCACACTTGCATATTGTAAATAGACATTTC